TCAGGGGTCAGCGTTTATATTAAGTCAAAAATCACCAAAAACTCTAAGGCATGGGTCCAGCATTCCTCATTACAAAGGAACGCACACATCCCTGAAAGGTGTCTTGAACGCACATCGCACGGCCAACCCTTCACAAGTTGTACCAGCTAAACTTCAGAGTGGTTCTGCGAACATCTTACTTAGTAGACCTTTGAACTATCTACTGTCAAATTTCTGACGATCTCGATAGCTTCCTTGAAGAGAAATACATCAAAAACCAACATGATGCTAAAACGACCTTCCCTCAGTTCATCGCCTCCAGAGGTCCAGCATTCCAAATAAACGTACCCTGTTGAACGGCTTTCTTATAGAAAAAGATTCGCGCTTTCGAATGGTTTTTTAATCAACTCGAAAGGTTCAGTCTAAGCCGAGATACGTGCATTTAAAATTAGGGGTTGGAAAACGACAGAACTTTCTGAAACGCCTAATAGAATTAGATTGAGTGTGCTCGATCGGTGTTTATATAGCCGCTGTGGGTGTTATCATGATCATGACATCAACATCACGAAGTGTTGCCCTTCGTACTCCCTGGTTTTGTGAGCGGTTGGTCCGGACGGACAGAACGACACACACACCGACAAACCGACACACCATTTTGGCGGATTGTAAAATAAGAAGGATACTATTACAAACCGACACACCCAAATTAGCGGTTGATGTAAAAGAAGGATGGAGATGGATAGATTCGGTCCCACCAGTTTGCTATGTTGGCCTCCGAGGAAAAATTGCTCGTCTCATCCAGACTGTTATCCTAGCTTTCCCGCTGTTGCATCTCTTGAATTTTGAAAGATGCGGTCATATGAGCATATCGGACAAGATGTGATCAGGAAGAAAGGAATACTAGAGCAGTTTGACACCGTACTTTTGTAACACCCTGTAATTCGCCTTGGACGCAAGCGAATTAACACAACAAATCTGTCGAATGCATTCCGTCTCCTACCATGTCTGTCATGCGCGAAAGTTGTACAGGGGTGGCCAAAAAAAGAGACACTTTGCCCATGGCGCACATCATCGAACTTTTCGTCGCACAGGGTGCCGATGTTAATGAAAGTTTTACGGCGGAATATTCCTTAGGTGTTCCCCCGTAAACAGAAGCAGGCCCTCCTTCACTGCCCCACCGTCTTCAGAATATGACGTCATCTGTCCGCCACCGTCGAGGCTTACCGTAATCGCTCCGGCCTGAAGCTGCTACATAATTTCTTCAATGGATTAACTGTTGAATAGCTTCCCAGAGACATTAGCTGTGACTATGCAAAACCGCTTTTGACCAGCGTTTCAGGGACGTCGTAATGGTCTATGGTACCTCGACGACCTCGTTGAGCTCGTACCGTGAACCATGTTTCCGTGGGAAAATCTTCTGATGTCGTCGGTGTAGAAGGCTGTCATGTAACTTTTAGATAGATTAGAATGTGCTCTTTAATACTAAGTTGGGGCAGTCGATTTGATTCTAGCAAAGTGTGATTAATGCTGTCTGAAATGTGGAGTGAAGTGTCTCTTTTTTGGCCACCCCTGTATATCTTTATGTACGCGCCTATTTCTCACCGTAAAGATATAGTCTGAAAATTTAGTGCAGTGAACTCTAGCGTCTCGTCGTAAAAATGAGCAAGGAGAATCGATGAGTAGTACGGCGTGTGACAGGGAGGAATGGAGACGTTATAAGCGCCTGCTCAGAGAATTTGGATTACAGTGGGGCGGACCAACAGTTGCTCTAAACTAGTGTGGCTCTCTTTTATGCAGTGGCAAGCAAAATTAATACCTGCCAATTCTTCTAGTTTTGGTAATCATGCCCTCAAGGGGGGGGGGTACATACAAAACAGGTCTGAAGGAAGCTCACCTTGCTCTCGTGCGTTTGACATTGCTCTTGGCCAGTTCAGACGATAGTGGGAAGGAAAATGAACACCACTCTAGCATCTTCATTTCTGATTCGCCCTATTAACTACAACACGCACTTCGAGGGCGCTTTGAGAGCGGTCTCGCTGATCTCAAAAACCATATCTTCCCAACGCTGCCTGTGGGCGGTGTATTAGTACTGGTTAGAGTGTTTTTGTGACGTCTTGACTGCGGGCTTGAAGGAACCCTCGGAATACCATGATTCAGTCTCACCCATGCATCACTGGTTTGAGACCCATCGTTAAGGATACGAACGAAAACAGCAAAAAATGTGTTTTTTGACAAACAATCCGGAAAACCGGAAGGACCATGCAATCATGTTCTTGCCGTACACACTGTCACAAATGTTGGCGGCGGGAACGCTTCCACTTGTTCTCGGAGTGCCGTCACTAGAACTTTTTGACCTTTGACTTATTGCACTAACATCTCACACTTCTACTCCTCTTATTCTACCGATCGTTTTGTCTCTATTCTCCAAAGTCCAAAGCTTTTGTTGGACCTTTCAATACGTCGTCTGATAGGTGGCCGCCACAAGGCCCACTTCTTCTCATGTGCCCTACCTTCCATGACTGTCCATAGAGTGCAATTGTGTGGTTTTCTTAGGATTGTTTCTCTCGGAAAGTGAACTTTAAGACCAGGATCAGGCGTCCACCGAGGTTGCTAGCAGTCGTGATCAGAAAGAATTGAATACGAAAAATTGACATCAGAGTAATTCTCGCAGTGCCCCTCATTCGCATATTTCGTAGAGCTGTCGGACAAGGAGTCGGAGAGAAGTGTAGATCAGAGACCGCTAAAGCGCAGGTCTCTGCAACTGGTCAATAATTGACCAGTAAAGTGATCAGGGCGGCAACGCGTACTGCCTGTGGTACAGAGTTGAGCGGGAAACCCCCTATAAAAGGGGCCAGGGTCTGTGATCGGGGTTCTACTAAGTTCTACTCATCGTCTCGTTATCCTCATCAGGAGGAGGCAACTTATTCTTCCCGGATAGTGGCCTGTGTGGCCGAGATCCTTGCTAGCTTAGTGTGTCTAGTGGCCTGTGTGGCCAAAACCAGCTTAGTGGAGTGCAGTCAGTGGCCTGTGTGGCCTGAAACCCCTCCCAGTTCAGGACAGTGGCCTGTGTGGCCAGAACTCTGACTACCCAGTGCGTATAAGTGGCCTGTGTGGCCAAACTCTACCCCCAGCAGTTCGAGTTGCCGTTCCACATTGTCCTCGTGAGTGGTTGACGTCTCTCCGACTCTCATCAGCGCATTCTACCTTGATCAGTGTTTTTATCGCCCGTATTTGTGTGTTTGTCATAATTCGTGTCGTTTGTTAATAAATTTGTTTCTTATCGAATTGTTGTTCTGCCATATTGACCGTTTGAACGGAGTCTATCGTGAGAACCAATTGTTATTCGGCTGACATGGGGGCCGAACCGATTCATTGATAAGGCTCCTAGAACGGTCAAGAAGGTGAAATCAACTGCTCACTGACTTGAAATTGATCCGGGCTAAAGCAAGAACGCCCGTGGATCCGCCTAGAAAAGGCATCGATTTTTTTGGAAAGACGCCAAAATAGTTGATTGGCGCCATTACCATCGATTATTGGGTTCAGTGACCAAGTCGGTGAAACGTAATCAGGTCATTGATTTCCGTGCATTGATTTCATCGTTCGTTGGTCGGTATCGATCGTCCGTCGTTCGTGATTCGTTCTGTACCGTAAAGCAAGGGTTGCGGGTATATTCAGTTGAGTGCAAGTGAAACAACCTTTGCTTTGCGGGGTCACGATGGTGAATGAGCAGAGTGATGCTATGTTTTCCAGGATCAGTGGCATGAACGCAGGATCAATGGAAATGGAAAATGAGCCACCCAATGAGGTGAGCAGTTTAAAGCATTATGCCCCAAGCATATGTGGAGAGAAAGAGTGGGAGCAAGTGGCTCGAGTGTTTAGTGAAGGGCAGCGAAGGATGTTGGCCATAATTGAGGCGTCCAAAGCTTCTAAGCAAGCCAAAGTGGACTTAGATAGGGAGTGGGCCATGATGATAGAGTCAGTTGGAAACATTGGCAGGGAGCGATCAGAAAGCTCACACCCAGATGAGTGTCTTTGGAGGGCAGTGAAAGAAACTTTACAGAAAGACATACAGAGAAAGACATAAAGAGTGGGGAAGATTGGAAAGATCACCTATCCACCATGGAGCGGGATGGAGTGATAGTGTCGGATTAGCGCGAGATATTAAAGGTGAACGCTTTTCAGATCCGAGAGCGTGTCGAATTGCTGCTCAAAAATAGCGAAGAGAAAGGAGCGGGAGCAGCTCAAGGTACCGATCGGTTTGATGGTTCATTAGGCCATGAATGCAAGACGATGTAGTGAATCGTTGGTGAAGGTGAATCATTATTCGACTGGAGCGAGGTCATTGGACAATTGGAGCTCGCGGTCGGATGCGACGGAGCCGATGATGGAACACGCAGGTGCGAACTCTACCATACATTTAGTCAACTATTTCCGGGCTATGACGTGCGCTGACCCGGGAATATTCAAGGGGTCCAAAAACGAAAATTTCGAAGAATTTTTGAGAAAGTTTAGAAGAAGGTATGAGAAGGTGATCACGTGTGAGGCCACTCTCATTGATATATTGGCAGACGATCACCTGGGGGGACGCGCCAAGAACGTGTTTATGTCCCTTCCGCGCATAATCAAGGAACAGGGATTTGAAGCGGTAGCCAATGAAATGGTTAAGATGCTAGTGTGCGATTCAACTTCGAGCAGAATGAGGGCTTTGACTGAGGTGAAGCACCTGAGGACCCAACCAAGATGTTGCCGAATTTTGTTTGGTCTTGGAGAAGTTAAGCAGGCAGGCAAACCCGGAGGGCTCGCTGGAAGACCGCTCCATGGAGAATGCACAGATACTTCTAGACAACCTAAGTAATTGGCCTGAACATTTTCAACTGATGGGAAACCTGCATAAAGTTGAGCCAAGAAAAGCATGCGAAGAATTCAAAATCTTGCCCTCAGTATCGAGCAATCTAAGCTGATATTGGGCACGTGTGTCCCAGCCGTCATGGAAGACTAGGTTTGCCCAGTATCAAGGAGGTAGAGAAGCTATAACTGAGATGCGTGGAACATCAAGGGGGCCCGACAGTGAAGAAAGAAGTAGCAATAGAGAACCCAGTTCTAGGGCAGCAGGTGGGCCAAGGAAGACAGATGGAACGCAAGGTAGCTGTCGTGTTCTGACAGAAAGCAGGAAGTGTTACAACCGCTCGAAATATGGACACGTCGTGCGGGAGTGCCCGTTGCGCGTAGCCAGAGTGAGCCACATTGAGCCCAAACACGAAGCACCTACCGAAAAGGATGAGACGCTGTCATCTCGCGTTAATCGTACCAGATGCTTGGGAATGGCAGTAAAAGAGAATGGATCATCAGCAAACGATCTCATTAGGGATCGGGTTATGGTGCCCCTTCACGTATTGGGTGAGAAGTTTCAGGCATTGATCGACACGGGATCAATGATAAGCATTGTCCCAGTGCAGATATTGGCCAAAATCCAAGACAGAGGGTTTGACCTGGATTCCTTGATAATGGTGCCTAAGTCCAAGCTTAAGCCAGTTTTCGATGCATCGGATAATAGGATGGATTTCCTTGCGGCTGTATTACATACCAGTCAAATTAGAGCAAGGAGCGACTAAGGAGGTGGCGTTCCATATTAGTCCAAAGAAGGAAACTGAGACAATACTGGGAACCAATGCGCTCGCTCGGTATAAACATTGCCATTGAGAAAGAAAGGGTTATATCACCCAAAGAAGCAAAGCAAAATAATGTTATGGTAGTAGAAAGACGCTATGTCCCACCTGGAGATACGGCACTACTAGAAGTGGTATGTCGGGGGAAAGAGATGGCGAAGTGGAAAGGGTAATACGGCCATGTAAGCAAGGCGTAGCTGCGGGAGTTTTCACCATTAAGGACCAGAGAACAACAATTCCCGTAGTTAGCAAGAGTTCTAAACCCTTACTCCTCAAAGAGGGTGAAGATATTGGACATTGGGGTACGGACAAGTGGCTTGAACGATGGGAAGATGCAAACCCGCTAATGGTGAACGACGAGAAAGAAGCGAAGCTCACGGCATCTGAGAGAGAGAGTCTTGTTGGAAGAAT